AATTGACATATTAAAAGTACATAGAAAGAGAATAGGAGTACGGAAGTATTCAAGAAGATACTGACTGAGAATTTTCCAGAAATATTAAAGACATTTTTCCATGAATCAGAAATCTATACCTAACCACATCTTAGTGAAACTTTAGAATGTCAAAGACAAAAAAACAACATTAAGAACAGACAAAAGAAAATATTACATACAGGCTGAAAGATGTATTACAAACACAGGAATGAAAGTTAACTGGCAGGTTCTTCTTACAAACCATACTAGGTACTAAATAACAGTAGGGTGACACCCTCAATATGCTGAAAGAAAAGTGAATCTTACCCAGAATCACAAATAAAGTAACTCAATACAAACACTCAGTAGCAAGAAGAAATGAAGAGCAAAGAAAATGGTAAACCTGTGGTTAATTCTAGACAAACAGTAGCTACCTTAAAAAAATATTGTTTTAAAAGTTGCTAAACATTATTAAAAATATTCACATTCCACTGCCACCCTAAAGGAGGAAATGCAAGACTTACAGAAGGATGTTCCTTCAGGAGGAAGCAGCACTAAAAGCAGTCTGAATCAAGATGAGTGTGAAAATATCCCAATAAGCACATTTTGGATATAAAAAAATTCATATTTAAATTGACAATGTGTATTCAAAGATCCTCTTCTCATTCAGGAGGAGATTAAGCTATTTCACTTTAGATTTTGTTTGAATTCATGTCATAAAAGTTCCAAGACAACTACTAAAATAACAAAAAGTATATTAAAATAGAAAGTCAACAAAATTGAATGATGAGGAGAAAAGAAAGCAAATCAATTCAAAAGAAGGAAGGTGGGAAGAGGGGGAGGAGGTGTATAGAAGAAAGAGCATAGAAAATTTAGGACATATAGAAGATATAAAATAAATATTTAGGAAGTAATTCAAGTTTACCAGTGATCAAAATCAACCCAATAAGTTTTGCAGACCAAAGTTTTAAATGACCTGTATACTATCAATAAATATCTAAAACTTTAAAAGTTGGAAAGTAAAATAATTTTTAAAGTTCCCATGGAAATAAACAAGAAAAATACAGGCAAAATAAATTATCTTTTATGTACAGAAACTGGTGAGGGTAAATTGTTAATCGCAGGCATATATTAAACAAATAAACAAAAAACTGATGTAGATATTTAATATATGGGGGAAGGTGAACTTTGAATCCAAAGAAACAGTTACTAGGATAAAAAGCATTATTTCATGGTCGTGTTCATTTCATCACAATTTAAAAATTTTCAGCTTCTATATTCTCTACTTAATGCATAGCCTCAAAATGATAGAAACTCAAGGAGAATTATTAGGAAAATTGGTGTTCTTATTATCAGGGAATATTAATGCCTCTCACTCATTGACAAGCCAGATAGACAAAAAGATTCTATATGGATGGAGAGATTTGACAACACACTTGACAAGCCTCGTCTAATGAACTTCAAAAGGACACTCCATCTAAAGAGTGCAGGATTCACATCCTTTTTAAGAACACATGGAACAATAATAAAAACTTATTACCTGCAAGGCCACAAAACAAGCCTTACAAATTTCAAGTCATTAGATATTATAGAGAGCACATCTTTTTATCCACAATACAAACAAAATAAAATCAATACTCAAAGAGATAACCAGGAAAACCAATAATTTTGCTAAATTAAAACACACTTTTCAGAAGTTCATGTGTCCAAAGGAACTCATGATGAAAATTGGAATATATTTGAAATTAAGGAATGACCCAAACACTATATATCATAATTTGTGGAATAGCATTAAAGTTGTGACTAAAGTACTCAGCTTTAAAACAATTTTATTAAAAAGTAAGAAAATCTAAAGGATAATAATTTGAGTATCATACTTAAGAAGTTAAAAAAATGAAATAGAATAAACCCCCCAAAAGGCAGAAAAAAAGAGGAAATTATTAAATTGTAAACAAAGATCGATGAATCCTGAGTGTTTTTTTAAATAATAAAACTTATCATCTGTAACAATTTTTAGGTAACAGAAAGAGATGAAACATAAAGCAATAGCAAAAAGGAGAACATAACACAGATGAAAAAGAAAATCAAAGAATGTCATAACCAGAATCATATCAATAAAATTCAACACGTTTTCTAAACCGGCTGACATCAAAAAGAATGGATTTGGAGAATATCATGCTAAGCGAAATAAGCCAATCCCCCCAAAAACCAAAGGCTGAATGTTTTCTCTGAGATGAGGATGCTAATTCACAATAAGGGTGGGGGCTATGGAAGAAGAGCGTTACTTTAGATTAGGTAGAAGAGAGTAAAGGGAGGGGAGGGGATCTGGGGATAGGAAGGAGAGTAGAATGAAACAGACATTATAGCCTCATGTACATATATGACTGCATGACCAATGTGATTCTGTAACATGTACAATCAGAAAAATGAAAAATTATACCCCATTTATGCATGATATATCCAAGTGCATAAATGCATTCTACTGCCATGTATAACTAATTAAAAAAAATAAAAAATTAATTTAAAAAAAGAAAGATATCAATGACTGAAGCCTGACTCAAATAGAAAATGTGTTTCTACTCCTTATAGAAACAGAATTAGTACTTAAATATTTGTACAATAAAAACACCAGGCCCAGATAACTTCATAAGTAAATTCTCCCAAACACTTAAAGGATCGACAATTTCCACACTACATAAGCTACTTCAGAGGATCAAAAAGCAGCGAGGAGAAAGGGCAGCAGCATTCTATACCTTGGTTTATGAGGCTCTTACAATACTGACTCCAAAACCAAACAAGGACGGAGACAGGAAAATCACTGGCCAGTTTCCCTCCTGAATATAGATGCAGAAATCTAAAGCAAAAATCCTAGTAAGCTTCATCCAGTAATGTTTTTTTAAAGGGTTTTGCATAATAACAAAGTTGGATTTATTCAAAGGACCAAAATGTGGGTCAATGTCAGATAATTCGATAAAGTAACTTGCTGCATTACCGAGTTTAAAAAGAAAAGCAAAATAATCATTGCAGAAAACAGAGGAGGGCAGGGGTTTCCTAGGCCTAGAAAGTGAAAGAGGAAGAGAGAATGTGGAAGAGGAAAAAAAAAAGTCCTTTGGGGATGAAGCCCAAGCTAAGATTCATTTTGTTTCTGTAATATTAGAAAACACACCTGCCTGGTGGACATGTTCTTTGAACACTTTTCATGGGTGAAATGAATAACCAAGTCATTTTCCAGAGAGGAATTTAAAGCACCAAAAATAAAGGGTATGTGAGATCCATTTTAGTTAAACAGTTTACCAGACTTTTCTCTCCTCAAATCAAAATCTTAGAAATGGCTCAGTGGAATAGATTTTGAAAATCATTTTGCAACCTTCTCATTCTGCTTGCAGCCATGTATCTGAAAACACATTTAAGGTCACTTCAAACAATTTTCAGCACAGTTCGCAAAAATGGTCCAAATTGAACCAGAGGACCAGATGGATATTTAATTTAAAAAGTAAAAAAATATGAAATTATAATATTGCAAAATCATTGAACATCATGTATACACATGATGTAGTTCACTTTTTAAGCCTCAGACCAGAATTTTCTAGGAAGATTTTCTTTCCATGTTTCTATAAAAAAATATTTAATATTATTTTAGAAGAATCTAGTTTTATATGTATAGAATCAAGTACTTGCAGCTGGATTTCAGGTAATCACAGAATACCAGTAAAAGGTATTGCTGGACTCGGCTCTTTTTTAAACTTTCTAAGCACCAAGCTGAGCAGCCTAGCAGTGAGGCCGACAGAGTCCCTGGAATTGAGCTGATCTTCCAGGTACAACAAACCAGAGTGCGTATGACTGCATATGGGCTTCTTAGGCACACTGGAATTGCATCCATAAACTCTGGAGCTATAAACTGAGTAGAATAGATATTTAATAAACTTCAGGACTTTTACAGGGGCTCTTGTTCTGACGAGTGTTTTCCACTTCACTGTTGTTGAATCTATTTTAAGGACAGTAAAAATTGTCAATGCACTTATGAAATAGGTTTAGAGCTTTCCACCATGTGCTTCGCTCTTTCTACTGATATTTTCTTTATGATCTGAAGGGAAATAAAGAGAAGAATAAAGCAGTGATGTGTTATTTTAAACGTCAAGTCATCCAAGTGGTACATTTAGAGTGCGCAATTCTGTTGTATACATTTGGAAACATTTGCCATATTTTTAAGGAAGACACATCTGGCCACACTGCTGGTCTCTGAAGTAGATTTGGCGGATCAAACTAACTAAGGCAGAGCCCCCTGCCTCCATCAGGAATCTCCCACAGCTCTGTATATGGACAGGGGAAACACCTCTCTGTTATGAGAAGGCATAGTCTCTATCAGAATCCAACACAGTAACTACTTAAATGTAAAGGAAGAGAAGTATACATTCCAAGACTACACTAAAGAAAAACCAAATAATAGTCGCATGTGTTGAAAGCCAGAGATCAAGGAAATAATTTGAAGATTAAAACTAAAGCTTTAATCTGTAAAACAGAATATAGATGTCATTAAGGGACTAGAATAAAGATATTTAATACAAAGAATCTGATATTTAGAAAAGGTGGTTAAAAATGCAAATAATTGGATGTTATTCCACCCACCATCCCATTAACAAGTGATTTGATGTATCCAACAAAGATGAAAGGCATAGTTTCTGCTCCTCAGAAGAACACTACCAAACACTTGCAAGTTTTCTGAATACTTGGTTGCCCAGAAATGCAAGGAAATGAGCTGGCCAGGTGTGCACAGAGGTTGTGGGAGTGCAAAGAAGGTGCTGCAGAATGCTGTGTGGGGAGTCAGGGGGTGTTTCACAGAAGAGAACATGAAAGCTGGATCACTGAGGATGAGGAAAAGACAGTGAGTAGTGAATTAGACTCTATGGTGCATGGAATAAATAAACCAATATCCTTCAGGCATGGTTCCCAAATATGGTGACTGGATTCATAAAGCACCTGCTTTCTCTTGTCTCCTTCAGTGTTTACGTATCCAGAAAATGGCACTGACGATTTCAAAGACCAAGCAAAGAACATAAACCACCAGGTATTTATGGAAAGCACAGAAGACAGATCAGACAAGAGCACTTAGATCAAACTGCAGGTCACCACCCAAGTGGGTCATGAAATCCATTTAGTGGGTCCCAGGATAGCATTTTTAAAGTATAAAATAGCACAATGTAGCATAATGTGCCATGGGATAGTAGTATGGATTAAATAGAAATATCACAGTGAATAAGAGGAAAACAGGATAAGTGGTGTGTTGTATCTTTTGTTTCTGTCATATATGTTATGTATGTTGACATATAGTACATGATGTGTAAATTATAGAACTATGACCATACTTTATAGTATATAAACAATTATTATATTTTATATGCTTATTCATATGTATKTATATAATTATATTGAAGTAGGATAATGTGAGATAAGAAAACTGAGCTTTAAATAGCAAAACAAATCATAGGTAAAAAGGGAACATATAGTTGTGTGAAATTTTCATGTTATTATATACATATATAGTATATATTTATTATTTATGTTCAAATGTAGTATGTAATTATATACCACAATATATGACTTTAACTTGTCTTTATAAAATATAAATGTCTCTATAGCATTAAAATTTGGTTAGTAATAATAGCTAATATGTATGTGACACATATAAGTCTCTTATACTCTATAAATTGCAGACTATAAGAAAATCTACCTAACAATTCTGTGAAGGTCAGTTGTGCTAACTATCTAACAATTCTGTGAAGGTCAGTTGTGCTAATGCATATCCCATTATGCCTGGCACATAGTAAACTATCAAAATGGAACTTTTATTAGGATTATTGCAAGATTTCAGAAGGTGGTACCTTATATAAATTGATGCCAAAATCTATGCTTTTTCCTCAAAATCAATGAGCTAATTACCAGATGAATGAACCTGGTTCCCTTTGATACACTAAACATTAGCTCTCAACTGATAGAATGTCCGTTTTAGCAAGTGAGAGTTGTTAGTTACTGCTCACAGGTCCCTCTTTCTTTAGAGAGAATATTCCCGTTCCTGGGACCAACCCTGTGACATTTTTCACGAACAACTATATCAAAGAAGACAATCATACAACTGTATCAAGGAAAAGTGTAGTATTTCTGACAAAAAGTGTCAGAAGTGTAGTATTTCTGAGTTTCCAAATAATTGTTTTCAAACTTTTTTATAAAATCTTCCTCAGTTAAACAGAATTAAAAATAAACCTAAGGCTGAGAGAAAGTCATTAATAATGGCTACCTGTTTTAACACCTAAGATCCGTACAGTGATATTACTGTGTAATAATGCCTCTATGTCCTGTTTTCTTTCTCTCCTCTCTCCAATTCTTCCTCCTTCCTTCTCTTGCTCTTCTTTCTTTTGTCTTTCAGGGACCTCTTTCCAAAGACCCATTACAGATGAACACCTACGTTGCCTTGTACAAATTTGTACCACAGGAAAATGAAGACTTGGAAATGAGGTAAAAACATTTTTTGAGAAGAGAAGTATTTAAAGTTCATGTTTTAATGTTTTCCTCTGTGAAAAATATAATCGCTTTGGTGCAGTAATTCTTTTTTTTTTTTTTTTTTTTTTTTGGTACCAGGGATTGAACTCAGGGGTGCTTAACCATTGAACTATATCCCCAGTCCTATTGTGTTTTATTTAGAGAGAGGGTTTCACTGAGTTGCTTAGCATCTCACTTTTGCTGAGGCTGGCTTTGAACCCACCATCCTCCTAACTCAGCTTCCTGAGCTGCTGGGATTACAGGCTTGCGCCACTGCACCCAGCAGTGATTCTTAAATGTTAGCATGCATCCAGTGATCTGCAGGGCTACAACACATAGATGCTGGGTCCCATTCCCAGAGGTTCTGACTCAGCAGACCTTAGGTGGAGCTGGAGATTTTGCATTTCTAACTAGTCTGCATGGTGCTGCTGGTCCAGGGACCATACTTTGAGAAGCACTGTTTTCGTATGTGTTCAACAGAAACACTGATGAGAGTCTTAAGGATAGTTAAGCATTAAAAGTATTGGACATCCACTGGAGTCTAATAGTGAATCAAAACAAATGCATTTAATCCACAAATTAACATTAGTGAGAGAATCAAATTGAAAGCTATTAGTCAATTGGGACCCATATACTTCATGATCACTGCCACACTTGGGAAGGTAAGGTGACTACTGTGACCTTGACAAACACTGAACCTTTCTCCCTACCAAACCTTGAGGTTCCTGGTGCTTCAGAGGTGGTCCATCTAGAGTCAGTGTGGGGCTCACATCCTACTGATTATTTGACCTTTGGCAATTTATAAACATTTTATTACTTTGATTTCTTTATTTATAAAAGATTAATAATGGCCTCAACCTCTTAAGGGAGTTGTGAGGCTGAATTCAAAAAAGCACATAACGCATTGCCTAATCACCATAAACACCCAGTGGTTATTACAATTTGTATAATGGGGCCTTTTCACTGGCCTATCTCAAGGAAAAGGCATTGTTCTTTCCTTCATTCATGACACTCAACCATGAGTCATCTCAGGAGAAGGCCTCTGTGTTCTCCTACATGAGAGCAGGATAGAAGAGGTTGCTTTTCTAGTCAAGTGAGCCCCTGGAGATTCATTCTTCCCTCTTCTCAAAAAAGGGGAAAATTTTTTTTAAAAAAAGAAAGATCAACTACTACTTAAAAACTACCCAATTGCCAGAGCAATGGGGAACACTTTCATTTGGGGACGGACTCTGCTTGTCCAAATACCATGCAGGTCAGGTTAACACTCACCCGTCACTCCCTTTAGATGGCCCCAGAAGGCCTGGCCCCTCCCCTGAGCTAGCTGACATTCCACCCCTTCAAACCTGTGTCATATGGTCCCCTGCCCATCTCCCACTTTTTCCAAAGCCCCTATAGGAGAGAGTCACTGAAGGACAGCAATTAGACCCTGTTTTCTAGGTCCCCTATGCCATCAAAGCTCTGCAGCTCAGCTGCCCTCAGGGTGGGTACAGCAACCGGTGAGACTCAATAGCTGATTGATATATCCTGCCTCAGTCTGGCAACTTCCCCTGGCTCATACCCCAGGGTTAACTTTGCCTCAGTTATAGTTTGAAGTCAGCTTCCAAGTGGTTCTCCAGCCTTTCCAGAACAGAGTACAGTACTGACTCCTTAGTTCTGTTCAGACTATTAAGTTCTTATGTATCTGCATTTCCTCCATCATTGGGTAAAATTCCCATGTTGCTCCGTGGCTGGAGTTGTAAACACTACCCCACCGGTTCTGACATCATCAGGGCAGGAGGAAGGGATGGCACGTATCAAGTGGCACCCTATTCATCAGGCATATGACAAGACCATGCGTTGGAGCGGAGCATCCTAGGATTCTACTGAGATGGTGCCTTGCTCCGCCAATGGTCCACCACTTACTACCTGCAGATGGACACAAGAGTGACATATATTTGCTTTGTAATAAGTAGAGCATATTGAATGCGCCTCAAGATTCATTTGGGTGTCTAAAATTTAACCACTCCCTGTTGTACCGGTCCCACTGTTTTATAATAGAAGATTACTCTGAAGTCATCAGATTTTAAAAAGCAATTCCAGAAAAATACAGAAAAGTTACTGGGGATACTGAGGAATGTCTGGCTTCCTAGTGGTGGTCATAACTTTGTGTGCTTATTTTAGTTGGTTGCAGGCCATTAAAAGTCAAGTTGTCTGGTCACGACTCAAACGTTTACAGTCTGCTTCGAGGCAAACAGGACTATTCATTCCCAGGAGTGAAATGTCTACATTGCATGCACTGCAAGATTGGAGGGATAAATCACACTTTTTTTTTTTCCTTGAGATTACAAGTTTCCATTTTAAAAGCCAGGAACTTGATTTAGAATGTGTAAGGCAATGCTTTGGGGATTTGGTATAATTCCTTGAATGAACTGGGGCTTTGTGAATTATCTTTTTCCTCCTCAAACCATATGGGGGGAAAAATCCTTTCAATAAAATACCAGTCTTATCCACCTGCATTCTGATCTGGGGGAGCATGCTGGATCTGGTTCTCAGGAAAAAAAAAAAAAAAAAAGGAGATGAGAGTATAGGAAATGATAGAGTCTGAACTAGAGGGCAAAGGAGACCTAGATGGCAAAGCCAACCAGCATAAATCCCTCATCATAAATTTCCCCAATAATAAGGGAAGTTCTTTCTACCAAAGGCCAAGGGTCCAGACCTCTCCACAGACCTCCAGACTCACCTGCCCACCTGCCTACCAAGAAATGGATAGAATAGAGCAGCTCTACCCTCCCTCCTGCAAACCTGTTCCCAAGGGCAAATGATGTCACCCTGTGCCCAGCTCACAATCCAGTCAGGGAGGCATCTCCAACCTCATGCTCCAAATGTATTTGATGAGCCATTTCTACTTGACCCCTGCCTAAAATTTACAGTATCCATCCCCACCTTCACCTCTCACCTGGATTACTGTAGAAGATTCTAGCTGGTCTCTGGTTTCCAGTCTTGCCTGCCCCCAACCACCCACCATGCCTTTGGGGTGGAAAGTATTCTTAGGCAATAGTACGCGCAGTTCCAAGTTTCATCTGGACAAAGTGGATTCAGACTGCTGCCCCTCCTCTTTCAAACAATAGGGCATATGATCTGACTTTCTGAACCTTTACAGGATTCAGATAACAACCTCTGGTACACTGAAAACTTAAAATTTATGTTAATTCCAACCAGTTCTGTTTAATTCTCCAAAAAGTAGATGCTTTCTTTTCAGAATTAAGAAATGGGGGCAGTAGGGGCAGAGAATATGGCAGCATGGGTTCACTGGATGTTTGAAGATAGAAAGAGTGGGCATCACTTGGCCTGGATTGAAGTCCTAGCCAAGCCACCTGCTCAGCTGTGTAGCCACCCATGAGACCTGGAAAAGTTACACAAGTCATTTGAGCCTCTGCTTCCGGACCTGTGAAAAGGTGGTACAAGGTGCGTTAGGGCTCCTGAGGACACTCATGTATTTGTTCCAAACTCTCCGAAGTCCTCCCATTGCCTCTGCATAAAAAAACAGAATATTATAGGACTTCCAGACCTCCAGTCTCATCTCTGGTGACCTCTCAGTCTCATTCACACTGTCCTTTTTTTTTTTTTTTCTTCCTCAAAAGGAGAGAGAACACTACCACCTGCCAAGGAACTTTTCTTCCTCAGTCTTCTTCCTTCCTGTATCTTCATATCCACCCACCATCTCCTCCATCAAACACACACCTACACACTGTGCCCCTTGACTATTATCCATCCGCTAGATCACAGCTCAGAGTTCACCTTGTTGGTACATCCCTTCCTGATACACTCAAACCAAATTAGTTTCCTCTAAAACCTACTTTTATGACACTACTTTTTTTTTTCATTCAAAGCACTTACCTCCACTTGTATTTTTATTTTTCTGAAATTATTTGGGTAATCTCCATCTCTCCTCCATGAGAACAATTCTGTAATTACTAACCTTTAAAAACCTGGAGCATGGTTTGTTCTTGAAACCTAGCTGAGAGTAAATATTTGATGAGTGAATAAGCATTATGGAAGTGATCTGAACTCATGCTGGACAATTAGCAGGCAAATAGAGTCCAGGGTAATATAATGGACCATTAATGGAGATGCAAAGCAAGCTAGAAGCATTAGCCAGGGTCTGTTTCCTGGAGGAGACAGTCCTTAAGCCCAGTGAATATTATGTGTTAAGAAGAAATTGTGGAAGGGGAGACCCAAAGGACCCATGGTCCATCAATAAATATCAAAGGGTTGAAGGGAATCAGGAAGATGTCCTGCTGAGCCTTTACTGAAGCACTCAGAGTTGGGATAGGAGAGGTAGAGCCAGTTGCTACTCCCCAATTCTTAGGGCAGTGAATGCCCCTCTTTAAAGTGCTGAGGTCCATACTTAATCTCCAAGTGCTATACACAAGAGAGGCTTCCCACCGTCTGCTTTTCTATAGTTTCAGTGCCAAATAAAAGTCATAAATTTATTTGCTGTTGGGGCACCATTACCCACCCCAACCTTTGGAGCTGATCATGGTGATTTACTTTTTCTACCATCACAGACTAGAGTAGGAGATAGCAAGGTGGTGGGGCAGGAAAAGGCAATGTCTGGGAGTCAAATAGGCTGGCTCTGGTTTCCAGTTCTGATACTTAGTATTTGCATTAATTTGAGCAAATCTTAATCTCTCAGAGCCCTGTGTTCTCCTTCCTAGGAGACTGAGTGTTACACAAGATCATATAAATAAAATGTGGGATTTCATGCCCAGGATGAAATGAGATGCACAGTATATTTTAGATAACTTCTCTTCATAATTTTCATGTTTTCAGTATATCTTTATTTCACCGTCTTTTAAATAAACTCATTTACACTTCCCTAAAGACTTGGCAGAGGAAACAGTGAAACACCCTCTCAGGGCTTCCAGCACAGCCAGGGAGTCTTTATCTAATTGGTCCAGCAATAAGGAATCTGTGTGATTCCTGATACTATCCTG